AGCCCTAATGTCTATGAAATCTGAATTATTCTGTCCTTCATCGGGGGCTGTTTTGAGGATTTGTTTATTTTTTTGCCATTTGTATTCATATAAACAGCAACTCTCCGATGTTGTTGTGGAAAAATGTTTAGAAGTGTATCATTCCATTCCCTATACTCGCATCTCCTTTTTTTTTTTTTTTTTTTTTTTTTTTTTACCAAGAATATTGTATTTTGCCATGTGTATACTTTTTTGATGACTTTGTTATTAGGCTGGATAATGCACATAGTCAAAGCAGCACATAACTAATAACTGCAATTTATACAGCCATGTGTAACATCAACCTTCAGAGAGTTTTTAGATAGTTTGCTGCAGTGCCACTCAAAACAGACATAGTTCTGAAAATGCAAGGAGTTTCAGAAAATAAAAACACTTTACATTCTAGATTTTTTTCTTCTGGTTTCAATAACTAACCTGTGATGCTTTCATTGGTATTATTATAAGTGTTCCAAAGGAAAAGGGGACAGTGGGAGGAGCGTGGCAGACTTCAAAATGAGATGGAAATGCTACTGGGATTTCATTTCCTAACAATTCTCTGCAAGCTGTATAAATTTTCTTGAGTTAAATACTGTAGTAAACTAAGATATTGCATTTTTAGTGAAACACACTAACAATTGCCTGTGCTCTGGCTTTCTAGGAGGCTCACCAAACAACCAGCTGATTTAAATTTTCCTTATTACTTTCAGCATTATAGAATTGCTTCAAAAAGAGGAAGAAAGCCATCCATTTCCTGACTTGGAAGGTTGGGGGCGGGGGGAATTTTTAGAATAGGTTTTGCAGAATTGGGGTGGTTTTGCAGAGTGGGGTGGTGGGGGAGGATCCTTAATCCCTAGACATATATATTTTTTTTAATTCAGCCAAAATTAGTCATATGTTCTTATTGAGCTGAGTTGCTTAAACGTGCACACACACAGTGTTGTGTTGAGTCTGGTCTAACTTGTACAATGGGATGTACTGTACAAAGAACACACACAATCCAGGATGCCAGCATAGTGAGTCTGTAACTCAGACTGAGTATAAATTGACATTTTTTTTTAAGGTACTAATGAACTGAATCTGAAAGACAATATCAACAGCTAACTTCCATGCATTATATACAGTTACATGAATTGGAAACTTGAAGGTATTTATATCACAGGCTTGAAGCCACAGAAGATGAAATAACATACCTGTTATTGCCCTTGTGTTCTCTGTGGTTTTTCTTCGGTTGAGTGGCAAGTTTTTGGATCTCAAGCACAAGTGCATTTAAGAGGCAGAAACATCAACTGAAGTGGTGAACATCTTGTTGGGGAGTCAGCAATTGATTAACATAGACCTCTAGCAGCTGTTGCTTGAACTTGGGGAATTACTGGGAAGGGTGCAAGGTGACAAATAGTTTGGCAGATGAAAATGGTTCTTCATTAGATTATGTTAGAGATCCACTGAAGTGTTGGCAATCCGAGTAGAGCATAGAGATCTCTGCCACTCATAGCAACTGGTGCCAGTTCTGAAATACTAGTATCCCATTTACTGCTAATTATGTTGTTGGGCCAGCTCCACATGCTTGCACTCTCATATTGGACTACCAGTTGAGTAACCAAATCTGAAGACAGGCATCTCTATTTCATTTCCCCAATATGGACAGCCAGTACTCCTTGCTCGGTACATGGGGAGAAAAGAATTGTATGGCTTACATGACCATCAAACTAGCTGGTAGTTTAAGAAAAGATGGTATTCTGTAAAAGGCCTAGTTATTTTCTTTCTTGGAAGAGGCTAATGTTTTGAGCAGTGTGGGGTTTTTTGAAATCTTGTTATTTCATGACTATCTATTCCTGGTTCTCTTCCTTTTTCAATTGTTCCAGCAGCGTTTTCTCTTCATCCCCTGTTCCCTCCTTCAACTTTCTGGGTTCCTTGGGGCTTGGGCCTTCAGCACTATATCTCCCTCCCCTCCTACTGTCTCTTTAAAGGTAAACAGAAATCCAAGTATCATCTCTATATCGACAACTCAGAGAACTTACATCTCTGTACCAAACATACTTTCTTCTGTCTCTCTCTCTGGCATTTCTTGGTGGATGTCTTGTTAACTGAAGTGCAGCCTGGCTAAACCAGACTCCTTAATTTTGTTACACGGCCTCCTAATGCTTCCTTCTTTCTCTTTTCTTGATCTCTGTGGATAGCACCATTATTTTACCTGATAAGCTTGGTCTTATCTTCAGCTGGGTCCTCCCTCCAGCACCTCATGTCCAGTTTATGTAGAAGTCTTGCATAGTATTTCTGAATAATGTCTATCTAAGGTATGGCATTTTCTATCCATCTACAATAAAGCCCTGTTAGTTCAGTATTGGCTAGTTCAAAGTATGGGATACTTTGCTGCTGTTGTCATTCCCAGATGAAAAGATGAAAAAATACAAGTACTTTGAAACTTGAAGTCCTTTTCTGGTCCCTTGTATCAAGAAAACCTTGTTACTTTGAAATGTGAAATCATTTATAATTAATTGAAATCTCATTACTTTGTCTATCAGCAAACTGCTGTCAGAAGCAGCATCTGCTCAGTTATGGGAACCAACTACAACAAAGTAGATTGAATGCAGTCCATGCTGAGCATGCCCATAGAGCACCTAAGACAAGGCCCCAGTCTATACTTATTGTCAATGGGAACCTTTTCTTTTTGGGTGGCATCCTATGTAAAAGCCCCAGGACTAGAAGCCTTGAAGTTTAGGTACTTCCTAGTCTTGCTCCTAGCCAAAAGGCTAAAAGCAGTCCCACATTGTCACAAAATGGATGGGAACCTACCACAAGGATAGGTTAGTGAGGTCCATCTGGATAAGACAAAGACTCCACTGTGCTCCATCCCCCCTCAGCACTGACTCTTTCAAGTCATGGTGAACCACTACATTAACAGTATTTCAACTTCTTCACTCCCACAGGTGGGCAGTGCCTTTTCTTTCTCATTTCTAATGATTCCTTTTTTAAATTTGTATTAGCCTTAAATGTCCAGCAAACATCTGTATAAATGAGAGGCTTTGTCACCCCTCTCTTGGCCTGTTGCATATGATTGATGCACCAGGCACCCCCATCTGTATATTCACTTTTGGAGGATCCCAGGACTTGTGACAAGAACACCAGGTTCCAATCATGAGTTGGGGACTGATTAGCATGTGGATCCTTTGTGGGGGGTATCTGGAGTACACACACATACTGCCATGGCTGTGCTGTGTGGTCACCATGACTTGAAATGCTGTTGACTCTGCTGGGGCCCAGCCTTATGAAGCGCATTCTAAATTGCAAGTCTTTTAGTTTTGAGCTAATATATAGCTCGGACTATGTATAAACACATATAGAAACATTTTTCAAGAGTGTATTTATTGAGTGCTTATGCTAAAGCTTAGAGTAGTTTACAAAAGAATAAAACATAAAACAGTGATGATAGAACACGATTTTTCTGTTAACATTCCATTAAATGCCTGCATGATCTTCTGCAAAACCAAGTCTATACATACAGTAGTAATTTTCCTATATGCAAATCACCATGGGTACATTTATTTCAAATCTTTTTATTTCAGAGTTGCTATTTTTTGTTTCTCTTTTTCAAATTAACAAGATTTTCCTGCATACAGCTAAATTCTTAGGGACCTTTTCTGTCCTATCGTAGTGGGTTCCTACCCTTGCAGGGTTTCCAAGAGCTATGGCAATACAAATAATAGGTTACAGTTATTGTGCTTTTGTTGGAGAAGTGTTACTTTGATGCAGCAGTATCTTAAGAGGATTTGAGGGGGACCCTCAAAGCTGTGGATGAAAGAAGAGATGGAATTTTACATAGTAGGAAATTAAGAGGTGAATTGTTTGTTGCTTTCACAGTCGTTAGCAAGTTGAGTAATACAACTGCCATTTGAAGTCAGTAGTTATCCCTGATTTCCAAATGGGGAATGCCAGGGCATGATACTCCTTCTGAGTCCCTGTGGCGTAGACCAGGCTTTGGCAACATATGGCCTGCAGACCAAATTTAGTCTGAGGAGCCAGGGGGCTTCAGCCAGTGCATTGGCCACAATGTGCTTTGCTGCAGCTGAACAACTGGGAGCTGTGCCCATGTTGCAGCCAGGGGGAGGGGAGAAGCAGTGGAAGGGAAAAGTCATGGCAGCAGTGACTGAATTGGAACACCATCCCACCACAGACCTGAGCTAAGTTGTTCCAAATTGTGGCTCCAAAAAGTTGCCAACTGCTGACTTAGATCACAATCAGTGAAGCTCGTGGATATGCTGAAGGGGATTCTCAGGTTGTCTAGTACAGTGGTTCCCAGTCCTGGGCATTTATAGCGCGCACACACAGGGATTCAAGGTTTTATGAATAGTATCTTCATCTCTCCATATGTTAGCAGTGAATATTTTGAGCTCAGTGTCATTGTGGTGTTGCTGCTTCCATTCAGCTAAGCCGCATGCCTTCTGAGCCACTCTGAACCTTGGCATGTTCCAAATCCCAACTGTCATGATTGACAGAGGTGTAGGCATCCCAACATGTTCATGGTTGTGGTTTAGAATGTAGCCAATAAAATTTGGAAACTGTAAGAGCACAGCTAAGGTTTGTTTAAAATAGTAATTTTGCCCAAACCAAGGTAGGAAACACTAAACGTGGCCATAGCAAGGTCTCTTTTTTGAAATGCTTACTTTTTCAGCCCACTATATGGAGGGTAAAGGCACAAGATAATGTAGACTAGTTTTGGGCAGCTTTATGATAGGAAAAAAAATTGAGCTGTTGCTTTTCCCCCAAACAGTCTCATCTTGTACTCGTTGCTCTCATCTGCTGAAGTACATTCATGGGATTGTGGATATTGGTTGTTTTAACTATGGTGTGAAACATTAACTGTTTCTTCCATTAACCATCTATCCTACTGCCCAGAGAAAAGATGCCATCCTCTTTCATAGTTGCTATTTGAAAATTTGCAGATGTTCAATAGCAGTAATATGATTTCTTTTTTTTCCCCATAGCCTCTCCACTTCTGCTTTTTGCCAACCGTCGGGATGTTAGACTGGTGGATGCTGGAGGAACAAAGCTGGAGTCTACAATTGTAGTCAGTGGCTTAGAGGATGCTGCTGCAGTTGACTTTCAGTACTCACAAGGCATTGTCTTCTGGACAGATGTGAGTGAAGAAGCCATCAAGCAAACCTACATTAACCAAACTGGAAATGTGGTGCAGAACGTTATTATTTCTGGTCTGGTTTCCCCGGATGGCCTGGCATGTGATTGGATTGGGAGAAAACTGTACTGGACAGACTCAGAAACCAATAGGATAGAGGTAGCTAATCTCAACGGTACATCAAGGAAAGTTCTCTTCTGGCAAGACCTGGACCAGCCCAGAGCAATAGCTTTGGATCCAGCACATGGGTAAATATTTATTCAACTTACGTGGCTGCAGCATGGCAGTTATTTTATTAGGATTTTTGGCTTTATAAGAAGAAATAACACCTTTTATTCCAGTATCTACGTGTCTGAGGTATTTTTCTCAAGGTTTTTTTGCTGACCATATGTTTCAACTTAAATACAATGTGGCAAGGAATGACACCCATATGCAGAGCCAGAAATGGAAAAAAAACATTAGTTGCTCATAGGTACCAAGTAAAAGACTCAATCAGTATCATTGTTTTGCTTTTTCAGTTTGCCTTTCTGTAAAGCAGTTAATTTTTGCACATTTTTATTCCTACAGCTAACCTGTCTGGTAAGTTAATCAAACTCTTATTTGGGATGTGACATGTTTTTAATGCATGTAGACAGTAGGTATGTAATCTCCGTTAGTGGAAACAAGAATTCTTGCATGCTATGCTTTAGTAAACAAAAGTCTGGCTTAAATAGTGATTTTCAGATAATTACGTAAGTACTGGCAAGCGAACTAGGCAGAATGTGATAATGCTTTCCAAGAGGATTGGATTTATTAAGTTAGTCTGCAATGAAGAACAGGGGTGAGGGCAGTGGCAGCAAGAGGATGAGTTGCTACCATCAATTTAGGTGGTTGCAGCACCTGGCTAGAAAGGTTCATGTCCCAAAGAACTTAGTTTAGACGAGATAGAATAGGGTGGTTTGGTGAAGGCTAGGAAGAGATGAGAGGAAATGAGTACAAGAGAGGAGATTCCCCAAGGTCACAGATCTAGGGAAAGTAACCAGGACCCTGCATTCCAGTCCAGTGGTTTGTTGACTGCATCACACATTCTTCACAGTGCTTCTGCCTCCAGGTCTCTGTTGCATGCTAGTCCCTTGCCAGTATGGATGGAAGTATATGCTGAAGCTGTGTGGCTCCAACTCCTTTAGAAAAGACCACCATCATCTCTTCAGAAGTAAGAATATGTGTCTGGACACGTGCTATCACCTTGAAGCAGCAGGCCCTCTCAGCCAAAGAGTATGGTGGGGCTTGGGTTTCTTTGAGAGAATCAAACAGGTAGGATAGGGCTGCACAAGCCGTATTGAGGGCTGTTTGTTTAGGTGTACTTTGTAGGGCTGTGTGAAATGGCTGTGTTCCAGTTTGGATTCGGCCGTTTTGGAGGGACAGTGATTCAATTCGGCGTCTCAGATCACTGTCCCGATTCGATTTGGCTGAATCTGTTTCGGAATTTTTACACCGATTCGGAGATTCGGCCATAGACTATAATGGGGAATCACTAAAATACCTATAACTTTGTAATTTTTTGGCTGATTCAGATGAAAACAGCAGGGATGGTAGCTCCTAAGAGCTTGTTTGAATTTACAAGCCACTTTTCACAGACAAGCCTATGAACTTCACTTCATCAACCTCCTAGATACAGAAACTCATGGACTCAATGTAGACATTGGATTTATGACACACTATAACCTGCCTGACATCTGGCTCCCCAGGTACCTCTCTACTTTTACCTGCTATACCCCCTGCCCCACCCAGCCTGTCTCTCATCCCCCTGATGCCTCAATTTACGTTTTCACTGACTGGCTTTCTTGCCTACATCCCAGCCTTTGGCTTCTTTACTATTCCTTTCATCCAGGAAGAGCACACACCAACTGCATATATTTCCTCAGCTTGACAAAGGGTTTTTAAACTTGAAAGCTTACTGAGATATATTTCTTCAACTATTCAGTTGGTCTACTAAAAGATATCAGATTGACCCAAAGAACCTTGTCTGCCTTGTGTGTGTTCAGGCAGAGTGGGATGAATGCAGCAGGGATGGTAGCCTGTAACAGGGGGCCTTACCAGTGGTGGTTAGATCTTGGGCCAACCGCCCACCCCTCTTTCGCCTGCCATGCCTTGATGGAAAACTGATTCAGATGTTACTTAGGCAGGAGCTGCCCATTAAGGCCCCTGATGTCTAGGGGTGACATCCGTTCCGCAGCTCCGTACCTTTCCTACACTGTGGCCCCTGCCTCGCAGGTGGCATTCCAGGCAGCTAAGCTCACCTGGAGCCTCACAACTCCACTGCAACCAGCAAGCCTCAGGCCTCTCAAAGATCTTACAGGTCTGGACTTTCCCTAGCCAGGACTGTGCATGCATGTGGTGGCTGGAGGTTTTTAGGTGCCTCCTACCTGCCTTTCACCAGGGAGGTTTGTGACCTTGGCATTTCCTGGGGGTTGCCATGCCACCAGCAGTCCCACCAGACCTCCCAACCCTGGCAGAATGCAGTATTAGGTCATGCCCAGGACCTGGGGCCTCTTCCTTCCCCTTAGCCCCTGCTCATACCTCCAAGTTCATCCTGGCAAAAGATGTTCTTCCCCTGCTGGCTGGTGATACAGTGAGTGCCACCTCCAGCTTAGAGAGCAGGGCATTAAATGGTTGTGAAACCAAACCAAATAAAAAAAGGAAATGTGTGTGGACAGAGTGAAGAGGGTGGTACTCACTCTGTCTGCACGTGGAGCTTGGGGAACCCCCAGCAGTGGGAGGTTCACCTTCAGGAACACCAGCTGCTCCACCAAACCAGGATCCAAGGAGGTGCAGTGGGGTGTCACAACATCCTCAGCAATGCTGAACACCCTCTCACTTGGAACACTGGTCGGTGGACAGGACAGGTGTTCCTGGGCAATCATGGTGAGATTCTGCCACATGTGGCTGCAGTTTGCCCAATAGACCAAGGGGTTGCAGAGCAGCGGCTCCGTGTCCTCGGTGAGAGAGGAAGCCACCGAGGCCTTGGCACTGCCTGCCCGATGCTGGGGTCTGGAGCCTCTGAATCCCACCATGGAAGCCATGCCTGTAGCCCACATTGGCAGCGCCTGTGGTGGAGGAGACTGGCTGGTGGATGGAGTGCTGGCATGGGAAAGTGGATCCCCATCTTCCATGTTCCCCTGCCTCTGTCCTTCTGCCTCCCTGACTCTCTTCACCAGCACCTCCATCCAATGATGCAGGGTTTTGCTGCCGCAGTCGCTCCCCTTCACCCACTGGTCATACATGCACACCAGCATGTGGACCATAGTGGACTGCAATGGATCCAGCCATTTCTTGATGCCATCCTTCAGCTGCTACACCGGCTGGCCCCAGCCAGGAACATCAATCCCCTGGAACTTCTCCATTTGGTTCTGAAGCTCCCTCACTATGGGAATCACCTGGCTAAGGAGAGCATCGTCAGTGCTGAGGCTCTTGGTGGCCTCGAGCAATGGCTTGAGGACTACCAAGATCTGGGAGATGGTATCCTACTCTGCTTTGTTAAGGGGGCCACTGATCCCAATCTCCCCAAGCAAGGCCATCTCATGGATGGCCTTCTGTTGCTCCACCAGCCTTTTGAATATCAGGTATGTGGAGTTACACCAAGTCTCCACATCCTTCATGATTTTGTGCTGCCGGATGCTCAGCTCTGCCTGTTGGTCCCACAACATCTTGCTCCCCTGGATGCTCCAATGGAAGTAGCCTGCCACTTTCCTGCATTTTGAAATGAGCTGGCTGGTAGTGACGGCACCCTCACTGGAAGCCCTGTTCCTCTCCAAGGCATCCCTGACTAAAGGTGCAACTTGTGTACCACACAGCAGATGCTAACAAAGTTGGCATCATGGACCACCATGACCATATTGGCCCCGTTGTCAGCGACCATGAACCTGCGGGTGAGCTTGCCCTGCCCAATGAGCCACCCCTGCACCATACGGTTAATGTCCGCCATGATCTCTGTTGCCATATGGGACTCATCCATCACCTCCGCTTGAAGGAGAGCCTACCAACGGCCTGACTGGTTGCACCAGTGTCCTGTGAGTGTCCTGTGCGGGAGAGGTAGGCACGATCGCCATCCTGGCTGCTCCAGATGTCCAAGGTGAAATGCAAGGCCACCTGTGGACATGCCTAGCGCAGCTCCTCCCTCAAACACTCCCTGCATGCCTCATACAAGAAGGTGTGGAAATAAGTTTAACCAGGCCTCTTACTTGACTAAGAGGAGAGACAAAGAGAGAGAAAGAGAAGAGAAAAAGATGCTGATGCTATGTGTTTTAAAATGTTCTAAGATAAGAAAAAACCTTCATGCCTTGTTTTGTCTTGATATATTAAGCTCTGCGCGCAGATTTTAACCTCCTCCTCTCCTCCGAACCGGAAGCTGATAACTGTTCCCAAAACACAGTGTTTTTTTCTAAATAAGTAAACTGCTTACGTGTGACAAACGAATAATCAACATCTTTCTGTTTCTCTCAAGGTTGCTCTGTCTGAACCCTGCATCTTTTCTCGCTGTCTAAAGTATAAATATGCTTGTAAACTTGTAGAGGTCAGAGTTCCTTTGAGAACTCTCCCTGTGATCACTTGTATAGCTTTAAATAAACCTAGATGGCTCTGCTAATTCTAATACAAGCACAACGCGAAGTTTGATTTCTTCCACAAAGTGCATCACTGTCCTGCTGAGGGTGGTGCATGTGGGCATGCAGTATGATGGGGCCATGAGCCACTTGAACCCTGGCCACTCAGCTAAGGAAAAGGGCTGGCCATCCAGAGCAAGCATCTCCCCAATGCTCTGGGTGAACTCGCTCCCCTTTGGAATGCGCCCCACTTTCTGTCCGCCTTTCTCCACTGTTCCAGGGTGGCCTGCCTCCGCTTCTGGGGGATGGGGGCTTTGGAGCGAGAGGGGGATTTCCCTTTGGGCATGCTCCCACTGGTGCCAGGCTGAGGAGGAGCAAGGGCAAGGGGGTGGTGCCTCTTGAGATGTATCATCATCCCCATGGTGCTGAAGTATTTCTTGTCTTTGCCCCGGCTGGCTTCGGCAGTGCAGGGAGGTAGCATATGTGGGATCATCTGCCACCTCAAAATGATCCCACACTACACTACCCCCTCCCTTCTGGGGTGCAGGTGGGGATCCTGCTGTATCCCCCTCCTCAGCAGGCAGAGGCACAACAACAGGAGGAGCTGATTCAGCTGAGCCACTTGCCTCCACAACCTCAATCTCCTCCAAGGTGCCTTCCGGAGAAGG